ACACACACACACACACACACACACACACACACACACACACCATGTCAGAGACCAATTGATTGATTAATTGATAAATAAATGAATTGATTCATTCATACCTTGATACAAGACACACTGCTCTGCTGCCCGTCACACTCTGACAGAGCAGGATCCTCGTCCGGGTTGGGGTCTATAAAGTCATAGAGATCCTGATCTGATAGAGGGAGGAAGCATCCGCGTTCATCAAATAAACTGTCACATGTTAGGCACTTCACTCAACCACCCCCGTGTCTCTGTTATTGCTGCCAAAGGGAATGTGTGATACTTATTTCCGGTAACCTTTGCAAGAATCCATTTTAGAGAGAAGAGAGAGGGCATCAGCACGGGCTGTCTCTGAAACCTGAGAGTGCAGGCTGACAGTGTCATCGTCTGAAGGCTGCAGGAGAAGAAAATAACGAATAATAACTATTAATAAAATAAGAATAATGATAATAACATTTGCTTCTCATGCAATACGTTGACTCAGCGGCGGCAGGGAGGTTACTCGTGCCTGAGCCAGAGGTGGACTCCCACACTTGTGTTTCAAAGTTGTGGATTTTCCAACAACCTCTGCTGTCATGTCTATCTTCCCATCAGTCGCCCTCAGAGACCTTCCCACCTCAGCCAACCACCCCTGATCACCCGCCTGCTTGCAAAACTGCCTCCCATTTTTTAGAGTTTTTAGATAAACTTTGCTAAAAAAAAACTCTAGCTAGCAGCAGTGTATCCATTATGCCATAAGGTGTACTTTGACATTTATGTATCTCAAAATGTTGCATCAGTTGAGAGTTTGAACTCTGACCTCAGTTGTAGACAGCCTCTTGTCACCATTGTCACTTCCAATTCCAGAGTCAGGCCCGTGGTTCTTACTGGGATAAAAATCTTCCATGCTGGAAATATGCAACACAAAACTGCACATTAGGGCTGTATTAGGTAACCGTCAAATCGAATTTGCGAGGATAGAATAGTGAACGAACACAACACGTATCGTCAAGGGAGTTTGTGTAGATGCAAAACAATATTTCCAAAGGGACAGATATGATATGAAACGTTAGTGTATTGTGTGTCACGTCACGGTGAAACAATAACAACAACTGTCTCAGTACCTATCTGTAAGCGGCTGTGGAAGGCAACGTTTGCCGAGGGAGGGGAGGTCCAGGGTGTCCGGCTTCTTGTCCATCCTACATGCCTGGATGTTCAGGAACTTGAATATGTGCACTTTGCCCTTGAGACAAATCTGAAACGTACCAAAGCAAACATGGCGTCTGAGTTGTTGTAACAACTAGAAAGATAAATATGTTCCTCCGCTAGATGACTCAGTCGTACCAGGTTCATGAGAGTGTGAGGGACATGACAACCTGTCAACTCAACTTCAAACAAGAAGATTTGTGCTGGTACGCTGTGACCAGATATACTCATGGCGTCTGCAGCACATGGTATGCACAAACGGAATTGTGAAGTGAATGCACGTACCTGTGCAGGTGGAGACTGCATAGGGTTGTTATCTAGGATGATGTGCTGCAGCTGCCTGAGTTTCCTGTAACCTGGAGGAATCTCTGTGATCTTATTGCAGGAAAAGTCAAGTTGGATGAGGGGCAGGTCAGCCAACTCTGCAAGTACAGACCAGAGAACAGCTTTTGTTGAATGTAATGCTATGAAAATGTCTTCTTTGTTACTCCGCTGGGTTACAACTTTTACTGCCTCACCCAAAAACACTGAGCCAAGTCCAGGTTGGTATTGTTTCTGGGCTGATGGTATCGTAAAGGAGTTCTCTAGCGATTTAGTGTTTGCTGCACTCTACATTTGAGGAACTTGATCGAAATCGATGCACTCTACTTTTTTTGTCCCTATGCATGAGTAAACACACACATCTTCCAAACTCTTTGTAATGCAGATTTTCCATTACAAAATGCCTCTAAACACCACTCCCCAACCTAAGTGTCTGATTGCGTTATATCTTTTCATTTAATTCACTCTAATTCAAATGCATGCAGAGAACGGGAAGGTTCCTTCGGGCTGCTTCGTAACAATAGTTAACCTCAACCTCTGTGAATTTATCAAGTGAATCTTTATAAAATATAAACAAAATCAGAGACTGCATGGTTGCTATTAATAATTGTTTAATGGCTGAAATCCAGGGATTCTTTGGCTTGGTTTTGGTAATTGCATCAATCACTACATGTAGTTCAACAAAGCCCGAAATAACCTAAAGTTTGCCGTGAGTGGGCCGCAATGCTTGCCAAAAGTGTCAACCATAATAAATCAATAAAGTGAGGGAGATAAAGGGCGTGATGGACTAACCCTCAGGCAGCATGTGAAGACAATTCTTCCTGATGTTGAGTTCTCGTAAGGCGTGAAGCCTTCCCACCTGTGCTGGCAGCACCCTGATCTCATTACAGCTCAGGTCCTGTAGGGGGAGACAAAGTGTAGGAAATGGTGGCGCTCTGGTGGTACCAATATACACAGGTTCATTTAATGCACTGCTGACACATACACACTGCTCACCAGTTCCATCAACTCTTTGGCCCTGCCGATGTCCTCGGGGATGGACACGAGTTTGTTGTTGCTCACCAGCAGAACTTTGAGGGGGAGGCTGAACAAGTATTTTGGCAAAACTGACAGGAGATTTCGGCTGTAGACAGAGATAAAACATTGACCTACATTTAAAACGGTATACAGAAGCATGCAAAAGAGAGTATCACTGAGAATTGAGTTTCAGCAAAAGAGGAAATGCCTCTCTTTCATGAAAGCATTTTGGGCCCTGTTAATTGTACTGTAAGGGGAACAAGCACTTTTTGAGAGCACACATTCATTCACTTTTGTTGAGTGTGTATAATGAGACATAGGGATTAGGCTGAAAGTATAGGGTTAGCAATGACCCACCTGATATCAAGATAAGTCAGCATCTGCAGATTGATAATGGCTTCTGGGATGCACTTGATGCAGTTGTGGTAGAGGTTGAGCGACTCGAGCGGGGCGAACAGACACACTTCAGGGGGGATTTCCGTGAGGCGATTCTTGGACAAATCTGCAAGGCGGAGAAAGAGGAGCTGATGAATCTGTACACTTTGAACACACAGTTGACATACACATTATAATCTTTTGAAGATCTTGGCATCATCTATTATGTATGCTTTAGGCATGAGGCCATAGAGCCGAAAGACGAATCGATCCCTGTGACGGAGCGCGCCTCTTCATCGAACACCTGTCTAAGATTACAGAAGAGTCTTGGGCCTCGAAGGTTTGAGTGCTGCTGGCAGTTTAATATCTCAGTATTTTCAATATCGATCTCACTGGGAGTGGCACAGAAATGGCTTTTGAATTGTATGAATGTGAGGAAAGTGTTTTCTTTTTGCAACAGATGATAAACCCCCCCCCCCCGAGTGATTATGAAAAGGGATATTTGGGCTGCTTTTTGTAAATAAGGGTTTTTCTATGCCACTGAATAGTCTGGAATTATTTATTTTTAATAACATATATGGCAAGATAAGGCTGCACTAATGTAACTGAAATATGCATTTTTATAGACATGGAAATGTAATATATTGACATAAATTTAACACATTTGCAATGTAATGTAATAAACCAAATGCTATGTGGCAAAATACAAAGTGGTGCTCTAAGCTAAGTGCTAATGCTAACATGGCAACATACTTACAATGCTAATGTGCTAATGTTTAGCAGGTCTAATGTCTACTATGTTCACCATCTTAGTTTAGCATGTTGGCCCGCTAACATTTGCTAATTAGCACTAAACTCAAACAGCAGAGGCTCATGGGAATGTATTTGGTTTTGCAGTCATTTCAAATGACAACAAATGTATTAAAATCCATCCAGAGGGAGACATTAATATTAAATAAGTCAGTTCCATGAGTTAAAATTGGTATGTGCTGATGTTGAATCAATAACGGGCAAGCTGTGATTAAAAATGTGTGACACATTTAGCACAGACATGACAATATCTCACGTGCTCTGCTTTACTACCGAAGCCAATTTGCTGCAAAATCACAGCCCTGCATTAATCAGCCAAGAGCGGCTGCTGCTACTACTCTGGGACAACAACATGAATCTAATCCCTGCTCCAGTCAATGAATGTGAGCACAGCCTATCATCGGCATCTTTGCTTCTTATGATTAAATATTTAGATACTGGCTCTCTCGCCCAAGAACATCGAAGCAGAGGAAAACACTCACTCGGCACATCATTTATTACATCATAGTATACCGACCAGACTCCTTATCCCTCTGGAGGTCTACATCTTGTACATGCCTCTGGATCTCGCACCGGTTAAGGCACACTGTCCCTCAAGGTTGCTGAATCACTGTCCAAGAAATGTCCATGCACAAACACACTGGAACATGCAACCAAATCCACACTATCTCTCTCTCTTTGTGTCATCTATTAAATGAAGCCAGACACAAACAGCATTCAATTAAACAGAAAGCGTTAGGATGCCTGGGGAACCATTAGAACAATACATGTAAAGACTACCGTATTGATAAGGCTTCACCTTCAGACGCATATTGATTCAGGAGCTGCAAATTGCGTGTGTGTCTTCTGAATTATCTCTGGGTGACGTGATCATTAAAGACCTATGTGGGGAGCAGCTCAGCCACAGATAAAAACAGCTTACTGCTGAAACGCAAACACTACTGCGCCTCCATCGCCCGACACAATTACACTATATGGGCTTTACTGAAAGCAAACACTCACTGACCTACTGTCAGAAGGATTCTGTTTGCTGTGGATGGATTAGCAATGTAATATCAATAGCATTTCAACATATTTACGCAGACATCGCAACCCTTAATCCCTGCTCCCCGGGGGTTACAAGATGTCACGAGCCACGCAAAACTGTTTGTGAGTTGTGTCTGTGCTTTTAGAAAGACTCTCATTTCTGACCAACAATAGACCCGACAGGCCTCACTCTGTAGCTGTGGTCTGAGCTCTGACAGCAGCCAGTAAGCAGAAGTGAGAAGCAGACCATGAGACAGTCAGCAGCACAAAGGGAATAGCAGCAGAGATGTCAAGGGAAACAGAAATTATTACCACATGGGAAAAGACCAAAGCTGAGGTCACAGGGTGTACTCGTTTTCCATTAACAGTAAATTCTGCTTCTCCCTGAGGCTCTAACCTTGATGCTGTAAGCCCAGCTGTACGCATACCATCCAAACAACTGGGGATTCTCCTTTAGCAGTGGAATCATGTGGGTCGATGGGCGATGGGGGTGGGTGGAGGCAGTCTTTATGAGCCTGTCAGTCTCCATCCCCTTCTCCCTCCTCCAACCCGGGCCATGCACCATCTGCAGCCCACAGTGGGCCTTTTATCCACCTGCTGGTCGCCCAGAGCTCCCGCAGGACGAGTCCCGCCAGGCAGACGAGCCCTCCACCAAGGCTCCCCTATGCTGCACCCTGACGCCAAATCACCAACCCATTAATTTATGTTGGTAGTGCCGACGATGTCTGGCTATGTCATCCCGTGACACAGCAAACTCTACACTAACAGACATCCTGCTGAGCGTTTGAGCAAATAAATGAGGGGTTCTGAACAGAAGATATTCTTGTAAAGATTGCAATTAAAATGTTCAACCTGTGATCATCTTAATATAACGACTACAGAGAAAAACTGCAGACTAAAGTACCTGAATGCATCATTTCACTACAAGGTTCAATTTAATGAAAACAGGAAAGCATCATGACAAAAACATGATTAATTGGGGTTAATTATTTGCGCCCTGCAGCAGATGCGACCGCAGTCCCTGGCTGCCAGTTTGTGGGTGTGGTCTGGAGTGTAGCGGGTAAGCAGGGACCTTTAATGGGCATTATGTCTGCGTGTTTGATGGTCAGTCAGCTCGCTGCTCCTGCCATCAATCTGCTCCTGGAGATTCCCTAATGGGATTTCTCACCAGGTTTTGAGGAGCCATTTCAACGATGATATGATGAGCCAATGAGGCCTTTTTATGAGCATTCACAACTGAGGCTGGCGTCCAGGACTGCTCGGAGCTTGTGAGCCATGTTGATAGAGTGGTTGGGCTGTTGCAGACTGCTGCTGTGTGAGGTGTACCCTGGGGCAGTCTCTGGATCAGCTGTATTGGCTCAGCTACGTTATTGGGGGGGGCTGTCTGTGGATCCTTAGAGACCTTTCAGTTTGCTTACACTCAGGCACTAACTTGGCCGACATCTGGTCCGTGCATTACACTCACGGCATCTACACTTCCCATAAAAGATGTTCTTCTAGACCAGGGGTGTCCAAACTTTTTTCAAAGAGGGCCAGATTTGATAATGTGAAAATGCCGAAGGGCCAATAGTCCCTGCTGACATTATTTTAAACAATACAAGTAGCCTATACATACATTGTCATTTAATCATTTTATTTTCAATGACAGCAAATAGCAATGTAACCAAATGTAAGCATTCATGTGTGACCGGACTTTGGACATGCCTGGCCTAAACCTTAGTTGTTTCCTGTGAAGATGGAAGTTTATTTTGAAAAGACAGTATGCATGTAACAAGAGAAAACAGACTCATGTTGCTGGACTTTTGCAGGAAAAACGCACGAAAAGTGTGGAGTAACTTTTCGTAAGATATCAATAAAACGGGGATGAATTTATATCATTGTATAAAGAGAGTGACATGAGAAGATCTCTGTAAGTTAAATCAGCTATAATCACTCTTTTAAAGTGATTAGTGACTCGTCTAAAACATTTAAAAAAGGAATAACTTCAATAGAATCATTCTATACAATGTAACTTCTTTACATTCTATTAGAATGTAAAGAAGTTACATTCTGATACAATGTAACTTCTTTACATTCTAATAGAATGTAAAGAAGTTACATTCTGATACAATGTAACTTCTTTACATTCTAATAGAATGTAAAGAAGCTACAGTGTTGCCTTTTCTTTTCTTCCCACAAGAACGTAATTTTGTCAGGTTGATAAAAAAATCTCACTTTACTTCCTGACATTATTGTTACTTTACCCGGTAAAGTAACAATAATGTCAGGAAGTAAAGTGGAGTAATGAAGCGTCTAGAATCTAGACGCTTCATTACTTCAGCAGCCCCATACTGACAGATTCATTCATACACAATAAACATACACAGAAACATTATTATAGGCACTTTAGATATAAAATATTCATGTTCACATAATGCTTGATTTTTTTCCTGTGTTGTTTTCCAAGGAGATCACTCTCTCTCTCACACACACACACACACACACACACACACACACACACACACACACCATTATTTATGTTTAACCTCCTCTCCAACAATCACTACAGTACAAACAATGAGGAAAAGAAGGTGGTCCTTTAGATGTATATAGTACAGAATGTTTGTTTCTGCTGACTGAATGGAGTGGAATCAGAAGTCCGATGCAGCAGTACTCGTGGCTGTACAGTTGACTTGCTGCTGATTCACACAGAGGAGCACTTTAAAATATGATTTTAATAAAATAAGCACAGCGGCCATTATATGACACACAACAGCTTCTCATTTCATTTGCAGGATAGATTATTACTTAGTGAATGTAAGTTATGCAAAGAACAGTTTCAGACATTTTCTAAAAAAAACGGAATATATTTCGAAACGTACGGGAATAATCTCCAGTAAGCTTTTCCTACAACACCCTCCTCAACTGTTTGCTTCGCTGGAAACAGACAGTAAATCAATTATTACCGACAGTGTGTAACACGATAAGCCTCATGATGATACATTTGTTGTCATCATTTTTATTTTTAATAGATTCTTTTTTTATCATCCAAACATTTGATGGTGGCGTCATGTGATAAGGCATCGTGTTCCTGATGGCAGGTATGTATTTGTCCTCTGGTCTAGACATGCGATGGCACATGTAAAGGGAGCCCTGAGGGAAGAAGCACCATTGGGGATGTGGACACCTATATATTTTTTTCCAGGCTACACTCATATTACTATGAAGTAAAGAGAACCATCCATTTTTGGGTGGCAGTTCTTTTGAGTAGCCTCCCGGCAGCCCATGCTATTCTTCACACACCAACCACGACAAGAGGAAAGACAGGACAGGCTTTCATAAGACACCCGGAATATTTGATTTCACTACACAGTGTGGTGCTGTGTTTTATACTTCCAAGTCTGTGGAAGCCTTTTAAATGAGTCAGTCTGCAATGTGCTTCTGTGCTTTAACGAGCAGTGACTCTTTATGTTATTGACACTAGTTGATTATCAAATCCAAAAATGCCAGCTTGATACTTGTGTCCTTGTGGAGACTGTCCTTCGCAAGCAAACTAAACTTCTTAAGAATGTAACAATTAAGAAGCATTTGAACAGTGTGAGACTTACTGTCTGCTACAATCAAATAAAAATGTGGGACTTTCATTTTGCAACCTGTTTCAGCCAGCTCTCAGTAGCACACTAGAATTTTGGACATGATACACGATTAATCCTCTAGCTTTTGGTTTGTTTTTCAGATCTCCATCGCATGCACTCACGGTTGGCAACAAAGAAATTCCCACTTGTTCATGTTTTCTTTGACCTTGCACTCTTTTCATTTGGAGCTTTATTTGGTTGTTGTACATTACACCAAACGCTTAATAGAGGATACAAGAAGGCAATTTTTTTTGTGTTATGACGGATTTCTGTCATAAAGCAAGGAAACCACCACCCATATTCTCAAGTACAGTGTAAATGTATTCATTATGTTCTCTCAAATAACACACGACACTCTGTTGTATGTCTGAGAATACTGCACAACACACAGCACGGTGCTGCCGCTTAGTGTGTTTGTACCCTCGGGGCAGGGTAATGCTGGGATATGAACCTGAACATCTGCCCAGGTTGATGCACTGCTCCCCAGGCCCTCTCCAAGGTCAGGGCAGCCGCTTCAGAGCTTGTGCACGTTCCCATGGGACAGCAAACTGACTGGAGACAAACTGCCAGGAGTTCAGTGCAAACAGACACCCTTGTGTGAGCAGGCCTCTCTCTCTCTTTCTGTGTCTACACACACCGGGGCCGTCTGCTGCTCATTAGTCAGATGGAGGCCACTCGTTAGACCCCGTCCTGTATAAAAAACCCATTTAACTTCTAAAACCAACAGTGGGAATTAATGGTGGGAAACAATGCTATTGCTTAGTCGAAGCATCCAGATCTAAAAAGAAAATATTCCACGGACATTCAGATTTATATTGTACAAGGAAAAAAGTGCAAAGACACATACTATGATAATAATTTTTAGAGAAATCTGTTATTTCTTTTTCTTACAAGTCAATTTCACATGAGCTTGTTTTTCATTCAGTTTGAAAGGCTTCCGATGGGATCGATCCAGTGACGCGTAAAGGCCGTGTGCAGCATTGTGAAGCTGTTTCCTTTGTACGGCAGAGATTGGAGTTGTTGTGGAGGACGCTGCTGTGAGGTGTTTATCTGTCTTCGCACATTTCAAAGTGAGACTTCCTTCCGGCACACCTTTCATTGACGGCATCGTAATGAAGTCGTGAATAAAAGTGAAAAGACTGCAGCAATCACAGTGACAGGGTTCAGTCACAGTGTGAGTGAGACGATCGGAGGTGTGACAGAAATGTACTCTCTCTCACATCTCTTTTGATTACTTTCAGTGCTACAGTATAGAACGTGCACTCACCAAATCCTATTTGTGACAATAATGATATATGTGGACAGTCTTGGTTCAGATAGAGACAAGCTGGTCATTATTACAGCATATTGTGAAGTTAACAAGTGTGTACAATCAGCCCGGCAGTCCAGAAATAGAGTACTAACTTCCTGTTGCTACTGAAAAGCAGCCTGTTCATAATTGATATGGCTTCAGCTCTTCAAGGGTATAGGTTTTTAAAATGACATCATTATACATCCGGATCACTGACACAGAGAAGCAACAATCTGCATGTTTGTCCAAAATGTCTGCTTAAACTAACCTGTTACCTTTTAGCCAAGCCAAATTACTGTCTATTATGATTACATTATGATGCACTAAACATATCTTTACGTTGAATTCCATATACATGTTTGGATCCGCCAGCTTTCAAAAAGGTTAAACAAAAAAAAAAAAGTCTGGAGGAGGTACCAAAATCTTTGAGCAGAAAATGTAAAGCCCTTGGGGTATAAGGGCTCTCCAACACACCACAGCTTGCCATGAGCTGCACATGACAGGGTAACACCATATGGCTCACAGACATGTCAGAGGAGGAAATTATCATCCTGATATTCAGCACAATCCAGACGTCCACGATAATGACTATTATCCGTTACATTTGCTTATAGTATAAAAAGGTATATCTGATACAAATATTCTCCTGAACAGGGCTCCTTGGAACAAAATAGTGTCAGTTATGTCTGTCGTCCTTTATGTGTAAAAGTTAGACAAGCCGATTCCTAAACCACAATGTCTGATACAGTACGAGTGCCCTGACCCTGATAAGCCTTCAGAAAGCTTACGCTACTGGCTATATTCTAATTCCCTACCTTATAATAAAGACCAAAACAGCAGATACATATCTATCCGCCTGCATGTGAAACCAAAAGCAGACCATGTGTCTTCCTCCTCTCTTTACAGACTATGGACTATATCGCATGTGCAGCCAGGGGGGTGAGGCTGCAAGTACACTGCATCTTTTGTCTGGTTGTGCAGAAAATGAAGAAGAAAAAAAGATGAAGCATGTACGTGTATCACATGCTCACCGCAAATGATAATGAGTGAGGAAGAATTTAAAAGTGCCCTTTCGGTTCATTCATATTCTGCTCCAGCAGTCCGGTGCCAAATCAACTGCAAACCACTGCGCAGCGCCTGGCTTGGGTGCGCCTGCCGCCTCATTCATGAGTCTCATGGGGGGGCTACTGAAAGCCGTTGGCGTCGATCAAAACAACCACACAACAGCAGCCGAGCCCCTTGTGCAAGAAACTGGTGTGATTTATATGAACCCGAGTGGGCAGTAATTACAACCAGGATGTATATATGTGCATTGACAGAAGCCAGATCAGTGGACGGTGTTTCCCTTTAAATATTGTCACCTGCGCGTTAATGCGCCCCTGTCCAGAAAATGAGACATAAATCCGTGCACAATGCGGGCATGCTGCATTCACATGCGCATAAAAGAGCGAGCACATTTTGTTTGTATTATTATTATATATATGAAGCACATTGGGGCTGACTCGTGGCTTGCTATATAGTCCATGTACGCACAGCGACCCACCTGCTTGTGTCGTATCGGTCAGATCGTAGCTCAGCCCCGGGTACTCCCTCAGCTTCCTGCCGCTCAGGTTCAGTAGCCCCGAGCACGCGCCATCCTCCAGAGCCCGGTCCAGGCTGCGGGCCGTGTGGTGCTGCTGCTGGTGCTGGAACTGGCTGATGCTCGGGCTCCAGGGAGGTCCGCTAGAGTAGTGATGGCTTTGCAGAGCCGTGACAGCTCCCACACCTCCCTGACTGGACGCCATTTTCGTTAAAAAAAAAAAAGAGAAGAAATTACTCTTACAATAATAACAGCGCACAGCGGCAGTTACTCCGCCCATGCGCAGACGGGGTACATTCCCTGGACGGACGCTAGGGGATGGGCTTCTGAGGTGGTGCTGCTGCTGATGGTGAGCAATGTATGGTGGCCATTTTAAGCTTTTACCCTTCCTTCACCTGCTAATACCAAACTGCCAGCAGTGCGGGGCCCCTGCCCCATGTGTGCTACTCTGGGGCCCCTCAATCATTTACTTAAAATGTGCCCCCAATGCCTGGAGGGGCAGTGGATGGTTATTATTATTATTATTATTATTAACAAATTATGATTAATCACTTCAATAACAACAATATCAGATAAATATATTTAAGCAATACTAATACTAATATTTCTTTCTGAAGAGGCAACTCATACTATAACATTATGCATCAGATAGTCTAAAGGAGATGACATCAGAGACTATCGCGTCCATATAGGGTCAATACTGACCTACTTTGGTTCACTGGTTAGCAATGATGGTTTATCATCTACTGCTACTCCTGGTTAAGGGACGGCTACTGGAAGACTGGAAGCTATGAGCAAAATAATTATCCCGACATAAATCTTCGCTGTGGTAATTTCCAACGCAGCGTATTATGTAGGTCCTGAAGGGGCATTTTCCTTTTCTCCCCTAATGTCACACCAGAGAAGAACTACATTTGCACAAAGGGCCCTCTAGTCAGCCCTAAGAGGTCCTTATCTGCCAAATGGTCCTCAGGTCAGCCCATGATTGTCCTCTTGGCCCAAACGCACCTTGTCAACCTAGTGCTGTTTGGACCAAATGCCTGTGTCCGTATATGTCCAGGACAAAATATCCTGAAAGTGCCCCTCAGGTTATCCCCATGTTCATTAAAAGATAATATAAAATAGGGCCACACCTTTTATTCTAGCATTGAACACATGTGATGACCAAACAGCTGGTTTTTCCAAGCTCCATTGTTATTTCCCTGTGTCTTTTTTTTTTATATAGTTATGGTTTTATGGACTGGGAAGGAATAGGTGCATGAAGCCTATATGAAGCTTATATATTGACAGTTTTAATATTATCATTAGTGCATGGATACTATGTATTTTATTAGTTGTACTTCATGACCGAAGAAAGGATTTGTCAAAAATATACTGCACTTTTTGTATATTATCAGACGTAATATTCATGCAAATGATTAAATCAGATATGTTAATGGTGATATTATGTTGTATTGTATGATCTGGGGGTGATTTCCACCAGATTGTTTCTGTCATCAGTCAAATGATTGACGATGAGGCTAATTGAGGGGCGTTTAAAGTCATTTATTCACATAATATTTCCAAATATTGAAAAATGTTCAGGGTGTAAGAACCAGAAAGAAGCTTCTGTTCAGTGGAAACTTGGAACTGGATTTAAACTCCCAAGACCTGGTTAAACTTCAGTAAGGAGGCTGTAACATTTGAGAAAACTCTCCAGCCATAGGTGACCACCACAGCTCATGTGGAGTATAAGGGGGGAGCGCACTCTTTTGTAAGCACAATAACAATTTGACAACTCACCTAAATAAAGTCCAAATTATCCACGAGAAAGAGTGGACTGTCTCCCCCATGCATATGCACGAGCAGAGAGACAGACTCGTTTATTACTTTGCGGACTGAGCCCCACCGAGCAGGCGTCCTCTCTGCAGAGCTCCAGTCGGATGTCTCGCCTCTTCACAGCTCCGTGTTGTTGTACTAATCAATAGTCGTCGCAACCAGAACATGGTGAAGCAGTAGCATGACACACGTTGTAAGTTACAGTTTCAGCTTAAAGTGTTAAGCTATGTGCATGCAGTGCGGTTTAATAATAATCAGCTGTGTGCGGTCAGCCGGTGCTTTTTGTGGCGTTACAGAAGGGAAACATTAAGACTGTTATGTTAGCTTAGCGTTAGCTAAGAGAGTCACTGTGTGACATCCACAGTAAGCAGATGTTAGCGATTGGATGGAGGGTTGTTGCATATGTGTGGGTCAGTGAGGTTTATCAGGATATAATGGTCGACGTGGAAGTATCGGCTGTATGCATCGATGCTCCTCTAAAGGTTAACGCTCGAGTGAGCTAAGCTAAACATTAGTGCTAGCTAACGTTAGCTAAGTGTAGCCCAGGCCTTTTATTAAACACCGTGTGTGCTACAAACTGACCAAAAACAACGCGTGCGTTACCTCGAAGGACTCCCAGGACATGTGCTGAATGGTATACAGTTTAAAATATACATAATATAGTGGAGTAAATCTGCCTCTGGCCATATGTTCGAGCAGTTTGCAGTGAATGTGGGGTGTGAATGTTGCTAGATTTTGCTGAGTGTTGTTCAAATGTGCACAGTTTAAGTTTTGAAAGAAGGCTAACTATATATTATACAAAACTCAGAGGACCAGGGACGTGTCTTGCTATTTATTGTTCTTCACTGTGCAGTTTGTGCTGACAACATAAAGGATGTCAGACTCCATTGAGACATTGATACCTATAACAGGATTAGAGCCATTTAAACACCAAATAGGCTCATTTTTAGCTACCAAAGGCTGTTAGAGGTAGAATAATAAAAGGAAAGGGGATGTATGCTGGATTTAACAGAGATGTCACTGTTATGACATTACTGTGATAGATGTAGCATCTTTACATTTTGACTTCATTCATTTATTATTGTTACTTTTGCAGTTCGAGCATGGCAGATAGAAAAGGAAAACCTGTCACTCAGATCAAAACACTCACAAAGAAAGAACAAGAAGAGCTCAAGAAAAAGGTACGGAGGTTTGGGGATGTTGTAATATTTGATATGGAAAACTCATCACCAAAATCTGAATTATGAATTAGATCAACAGTCAACTAAGATTGTACTGTACATGTTTCTGTGTGACATTCTAGGAGGAAGAAAAAGCAGCGGACGTTTTTGAAGAATTCTTGGCGTCGTTTGAGACCAACGAGAAAAGCGGAGTGAAAACTTTTGTCCGTGGGGGGATTGTAAATGCAACTAAAGGTCAGCGGCTAAGACTTCGCAATACTGTTCCATTTTTTCTGCGTGGTATGTCCGGACAAAAGATGAATCATGAGTTATCTGTTCCAGTAATGAATTACCTGCATATCTTAAGATAACTGAAAGTAGTTATTTTCAGACTATCAGGCTGACTCGGCTGTGAAATAAATCACCGTCTTAAATTAGTGCCCATATCTTTTGAACGGCTTCATAATATTCATCCACTCTGCGGTCCCAAAGTCGGCAGTCCGTTATCGCTTTAATGTAACAAATAAATCTCTTCCAATACTGAACAGTTCTTCAACTTACTGTTACGCATGGAGACATTGCAAACGCAGCAGCAGGACTGAGCCGCTCAGATCCTTGTTGTAGTCTTGGTCTCAAGACCACCTTTTGAAGGTCTCATCTAGGAATCCACTGCTTCTTCACACGGTCTGGTCACAGACAAAGAGGACTCAGGATTTTAAGACCACTACTGTGGGGATATCACTACATTGTCTGATTTATCTGTTAACATAAAAAACAAAGGAATGTTCTCACACCAAAAAACTCACCTGAGGCATTTCTCATGTTATACACATACAGTTTGGCAATAAAGGAGGTAAATGAAGAGCGATCTTCATTTCTTTTCTGTGGGTGTTTTTAAGTGAATGTGGATCTTTCGGATCAGTGAGAGGAGTTATAGTTTGCACACCTGAATAAGTGTTGGATAGTCAGTATTCAATGATCGCTTTGATTACTTTTTTGCAGAGGAGGAAGCAGCAGAGGTCAAGAAAAATAAGCTGTATCGACCTGCTGGCAAGTTTGTCCCCGTGTCCCAGCATGCCTCACCAGTATCGTCTGCTGACAGCAAAAAGTCTGTAAGTTTGGACTCCGATGTTTGTATAAAGGTATAATTTACTGAATTGAATTAAGAATGCAAACTTACTATTAACATTTATCTTTAAATGTTGCTTCGTCAATTATAAGAATAACCACAATGGCTACTTGTTTGATTAATAGACGTATAAAAAGAAGACAGAAGAAAAGAAGAAGAGTAATCTCGAACTCTTCAAAGAAGAACTTAAGCTGTAAGTCTTTTTTTGTGCCGAGCATCATGTTTCAGTTCAATAAGTTGATATCCTTTTGGCATACATAAGTCTATAATTGTGTTTGAAAAAAAAAAAAAAATGCAGAATACAAGAAGAGCGAGAGGAAAGATATAAGAGGAAGAAAAATGACTCTGGTGGAGGAGGATTTGGAGAACTGGACACACCATTGTCAGGACGGTCGGGTAAGAATACCTCTACAAAATTGTTCTATTCATTAAAAATGTCTAGTCTCTAAATCATGTTAACCTCAATCCTGCTTTCCCCCCGACAGCATTATACGATGACCTGACCGTGCCAACCACCACTAACCTCTACATTAGCTGCATTAGCCCAAAGGTAAAAGAGCACACTGACTTTGACTGGCTTAGCGCCGCATAGACGTACGTCTCCCACTGTTTGTGTTTCCTCCTCTTTCAGATGAACGAGGAGATTCTCTGCAAAGAGTTTGGTAAGTATGGCCCCCTGGCCAGCGTGAAGATCATGTGGCCCCGAACGGACGAGGAGCGCTGCAGGACGTCCAACAGAGCCTTCGTGGCTTTCATGACGCGGAAAGATGCAGAGAGAGCCTTGTCTTCACTCGATGGTACAGTTGACTCTTAAAAAATAGGTTTTTGATTTACAGGCTGCGATAGCAGGTCTATCTAATAATACCCATTCCCCCATTGTTCTAATAGTCTAATTACTGTGATTGTGTTTTGTAGGTAAAGTGATTATGGGCTTTGAAATAAAGCTCGGATGGGGTAAACCAGCTCGGATTCCACCCCAGCCTCTCTACACACCGGTGGGGGTGAGGGCCACGCCGCCGCCCCCATCTGGCCTCCCTTTCAACGCTCAGCCAAGAGACCGCTTCCGCAATGACTTCACCAAGCCGCTCGGCATGTCCAAAGGAGAGCTCGACAAGGTGAAGTTGTCTCTGTTCTCTGCGGTGTTTTGCATGGCCATTTTGTCTCTGTGATGTGGGTTTGGCACTACAGGCTCTCATGTTTCAGTTGCGAGCAATTACAGTCACGAGATTATTAAGGAAGATGAGTCTTTAGAGAAGATTTTAGAAATATACACACCCTGAAAATGTGTTATTTGGCCTCAATATTAAAATGAAAGTACAAACATTTTTAAAACTGCAGTGGGTTCTGCAACTGATTCAGAATAAGTCGATGTAATCTTTCATCATCAATCATTGTAAAAAGTTGTTTATTATTATGTTGCATGTTTGTTCATTCATCTAATTGATCACCTTGTCCATGCAGGGTAAAGAAATGCACTAATTCAAAGTGACATAACAGTTTGACTTTGTATAAAAAATGTAACTATAAACCTTTTAGATAAATTAGCTTAGCTAGTATAGCTGGTTTAGCATTTTAGAAGAGTTTACTAAAGCTGTGTCACCCTCCCCTTCATTTCACTGACTATGAATGCTATCGTCGTTTTCTATGCTGTATGTATCCTGCAGTGTTTCATCTGTACAAGTACTCACTTTTTAATATTTTCACTATTTGATTTGACTTCACAAACAGACTCTGTCCGAAGCCGTAGTCAAAGTGGTTATCCCAACCGAAAGGTACACACACTCTTCTTACTACGACTGACCAGCTGCAATAACACAAGTGTTACAGGACCCGTACACATTCAGGCTGTTAATGCATCTGACACGAAGGACACGGTCGGACATTTTTTGACACCTGCAACGTAAGACTGAGGGTTCTCATTGTAGATGTCAAAGGTCCCGATGGCCTCAGATTTACAGAAAATGAATGCAGTTAGTATTTGCTCCTTCTAGTTGGCTCAAATACCTCAGATAATTCATGTTGTTCCCATCATCGTATTATTATTGTTGTGAAAAGCAGTAGACTTTGTAAATGACTGTAAGAGCCATTTGATTTATAGCAACATCTTTGAGCCCTGGGTTTCCCACGGGTGGGCTGAGACACTGCAGACCGATACAGCTAGAAGGCAGGTAGATTTAATATTAACCCAAGTCAGGCGATGTGGATTCATGCTGGTGTCATAAATCAAACTTAAGTACTGCTTCAGGTTAGGGTAGCGAGTGTTATGAAGGTCTAACTGCAGTGGTAGATCTGACACATCATCAGGTAACACTGCATGAACACACTGTGTACACTGATGCTCCAGTTCAGAGAGGATTCAGGTCTGGAGCCCCAAGCCACACTAATGTCTCTATATCACCCTGATGCTGACTTATCATGCGTTTTAATGTTTTGTTGTAGTTATTATCTGGAAAAAAAAATACATTTTGAGACCATTGCGTCATTTTTATTTCTTAAAAACTGGCCTTTAAATTCTCACGTGATTTTGTTGGAACCTTTTCTACAATCCAGGTAAAATGGCGAAACTTTCCTCTGATTGGGGCTTTCATATATTCAAATCCAAGTCAGCGAATAGATGCTGTGATCTGTCTGATTTCTTTCACCACTTCCATGGACACAGTGACCCAGGAACATTAAAGTACGCTGATGCACTGTCTGCACAGAGGACAGTGACTATGCAGTTTTGCAAAGTCCCAGGGGCTGTCGCCTTTTATTATGGTCAATATTTTGTAATAAAATTGCGAACGACACTGTTGGCGGTCAAATGCGTTCAATGTGACGGTCAGCCTGCAGTTTGCATGGGCCACTAGTTCAGCGTGAAGAGGTGTTAGAGATCTCGTGCTGTGACTGACTGACGGTGTGCAAACCCTGCTCTGATGCGCTCTTCTTCTCCCACAGGAACCTATTATTCCTCATTCACAGGATGATAGAGTTTGTGGTGCGTGAAGGCCCCGTGTTTGAAGCCGTAATTATGAACAAGGAGAAAAGCAATCCAGATTACAGGTGAGCATTACTGCACCCGGTCGCGTGTTGGTCTCGTGACCTTGACGGGTACGTATTTGATGAGCTCATCCTTTTTATCGTTTCAGGTTCCTTTTTGACAACAAAAGCCAAGATCATGTGTACTATCGCTGGAAACTGTTCTCCATCCTGCAGGTATGTTTTCACCGCAAAGCCTCGTTTCTTAAGACCTTTAGGATTTTACCTGGTGGAAGTAAAAGCTGTTCTACACTTCACTTGTTAATCTCATTTCATGGGGAACAGCTGTCGGAGTCGTGCCCCAATTCTTTCTAGCTTTTACTCTGAAGCCGTGTATGTGAGTTTCTATTTACCCGACCTTCGTCCTTACCACAGGGACAGTCCCCGACGGAGTGGAGGACGGCAGACTTTCGTATGTTCCGGGGAGGCTCCATGTGGAGACCCCCGATCATAAACAATTACTCTGAGAGAGATGACGACAGGGCGGATGTGGAGGAGGATGTTCCCCCCGAGGAGGAGGTGAAGAAAGGGCAGCTCAGAGCTGAGTAAGTGTGTCCAGCAGGCAGAATGACATTCATTCATACGCTGTTTAACTTTAGTTGAATTAACTGTAAACCTGTGTTTTTCTATGCCATTCAGGCACAAACAGAGGCTGGAGACATTGCTTAAAGAGCTCACTCCAAGCAGAGACGATATCGCCAATGCCATGCTGTTCTGTCTTGAGCGAGCAGATGCAGCAGAGGAAGTAGTGGGACACATCACTGAATCTTTTTCCTTGCTTCAGACGCCCCTTCAGAAGAAGGCTAGTCTTCATATAATAAACATGGTTGCACAGAATGTCTATGTAAACCTAAACAGCTGATTTTACTCACCATTTGTTTTTGTCGTCCTCTTTCCCGCAGATTGCCCGATTGTATCTCGTGTCGGACATCTTGCACAATTCATGTGCCAAAGTAGCCGGTGCATCATATTATCGTAAATAGTAAGATACTTTCCCTTAAAATCCAGCTTTAACACTTTATCCCTCTGTTATTTCTTCTCCATGTGACAGTCTTAACGTGTTTTTTTTTTTGGGCTCTGTCAGTTTTGAAACAAAGCTAACAGAGATATTTGGAGACCTTAATGCGGCGCATAAAAACATACAAGCCAGGCTGCAGGCAGAACAGTTTAAGGTAATCATGTGTTTTCATTTGGGTCACACAAGGACATTTACCATAATGGACAACAAAAGGAAAGCATTTGTATTCCCTGTCTTCACAGCAAAAGGTCACAAGTTGTTTTAGAGCTTGGGAAGACTGGGCCATATACCCGGAGCCGTATTTAATCCACCTTCAAAACATCTTTCTGGGCTTCGCCAAAGCAGTGGAGGAGTTGAAAGAGACGGCAGAGGTGACTTTAATATTTATCTTCTCATTACAGACGTTATTGCCTTTTTCTAACGGCATTTCAACAAATCGGACAGCTGTTCATGTCAAAAAATAGATCCAGATGTTTGCTCACGAACAGGACAAACAGTATGTCCTCTTGTCTGTCTCCTTGCAGGAAGTATCCTCCTTTATCGACGGTGCGCCAATGGACCACGCACCCATAGATGGGTTACCTTCGCACAGAGCTCCTGTGGATGACCTCGATGGCTGCCCCTTAGGCTGGGACCCTCTTGATGGTGTCCCTGTTGATGACATAGACGGTTTTCCCTTAGGAGTTGCCATCGATGACATTGATGGAATGCCCCGTGAGTCCACACGCATATCAAAAAGCACATCTTTCAACCAGAAGTCCACCGTTTTCCTGTTCTTGTTGTCAATTATCCGCCCAACACAAGTGTCACGAATCGATACACGATCAATCCACCCTCTCACGGGTTGTTGTCGGTAGCTGAATGAGCACTCAGATCTCCATGAGTACAGAAAGGGATTAATAAAGCCATCAACTATATCTGTCTCTTTTTTCCCCTCAGTGGAGGAGAACAGCGTTCCTCTCTCCAGAGTGCCTTTGTCTAAGTGGGAGAAGACGGCCGACACTGGGACATTTTCTCAAGGTAACGCAGGTAAAGATTCACTCGCATATCGTATCAATCCCCCCCCCCCCTCTTGCTCATCTTTGTCCTTTTCTCTCTCAGCCAAGACTGAGTCGAAGTGGGACATGGTGGTGGAGCCAAACGGTGCAAATGAAGTGAATGTAAGGTAAGGCCTCTGTGGTTGGTATCAATGCATCGTGCGTCTACATTTGCGAGAAGCATACACCCTGTGTACGTAAACCGTCACATGGTATGGAAATGTATGTTCTCCCCCCCCCCCCCCCTCGGTGACAGTGTCCACTCCCAGGATGGCGATGAAGACTCACAGAGTGACAGTAGCGATGACTCCGGCAGATTGTCCAAGTATGAGAGCGCAGACTTCCAGAGCACCCTCAAAAGTTTTCAAATGTCTGAGAGCAAAAGGAAACGGTTGAGAGAGCTGGAGGCAAGTCCACATTTGATCTAGTTTTTATATATATATATATATATATATATATGTGTGTGTGTATGTATGTTTGCTTTTATAGAAACAATGCTGTCGTCCTGTAGCCACTTCAGTAACCTGTTTAAATCAGAAATATACAGAATTTAACTCAGGAAGGATGATGCTATACATAAATGATAGTTGGATAAATATGCAGAACTGATTAGATGTGTCTTGACACAGGTAAAGGTCATGAAGACCCAAGACGAGTTGGAATCCGGCAAGAGGTCGAGGAAGTCTGGAATGAGCATACAACAGCAAGTGGAGCACTACAGGAACAAACTGCTGCAGAAGGTGGAGAACTGGATACTTTTAAATTCTTATTGAATGTTTGATTTTATCTTTCAGAAAATAGGAGTCCTGAATTATGGAGGCAGTTAATGATGCACAGTTATTACACAGTATACACTCAGTGTTTGTTCTGCTGTCAAGGGCCTCTAAAGCAAAAAATGCAACCGTCACTGATATGTAATAGAAATATTTCTTTAATCAAGAACAGTGTGGGGCAAAAATGTACAGAACATTAAAATTAGACTATGAAATTAGTCAATTGGCACAGTAAAAAAAAGTGTTACTGATGCAAAGCACTCAAAATTAGACACAGGCCATGAGTAGCTGCAGAGCCACGGGGCGGGCAGCTTCAGATCTGCACATTTAGTACGATGTGAGCCAGCTGCAGGAAAGGAAAGTCTAGCTAAAGTTGCAATTGATGGCTTGTTTACTCCAGCACAGTCTCTGTTGAATAAGTAAGAACTGTTTACTTTGTGCATTTTGCTGCTAATAGTTTTGGCCACACAGAGAAAACAGCATCTATAAGAGAAACTTGTCCTTTCTCTGCCTGTAGGTGTCAAGGTTGATATGAACTGGTACACATCTGCAGATCTGTAGTAGTTCTGTTAATAGGTGGAATAGTTGAGCACTGGTCTGACGTTGACAAAACAGCTGCACATTGTGGAGAACCGGCAGGCGATTATGAGTTAAGCAGGTTCCATGTCGTGTTTTGCGTCTCAACAGGTAAAGACATAGAAGCCTATATCTGACATCATTGGGATGTTTTTACCCCGTCTGCTATAGGAGTTTGAAAAAGATGAAGAAAAGACTGAGAAAAAGTCTAAAGACAAGTCAAAGGACGACAGAAGAGACAAAGACAGGAGCAAAAGAAGTGAAGACGGGGTCAGGAGACGAGGATGGAGTCGAGATCCTGATGACCACACCCGAAAATCCAGGAGCATCTCCCCGTTAAAGCAAGTGCAATGAGAGGTTTCTGTAGAGTGCCATTGATTATCCTTGAAGTCAATCTGTTATATGTTCAACCTTTTTTTTTTTTTTTTTTTAAAAACAGGACAAGGTCTCCCAAATGGTCCAAGCGTTCCCGATCGCCGTCTCCAAGCCGGAAGACGAGGAAGTCCAGGTCGCGGTCGCCGCATCGCTCCCACAAGAAGGCAAAGAAGAGCAAACATTGACTCTCAGGCCTGTCCTCCATCAGCGGGTCACACACTGCTCTGTTCTCTTGGTCCCAACTCACACTATCCATGCAAGATTCAGCACTCTTTTTGTATGATGAAGTTTGAACACTGTAACTAATTATATATATTTTTGTTTTTATGTTTGTTTTTAAAATGATAACCCGACATGTTGCTGTAAAGTTCTGAAACTAAATAAATCACTGTTGGTGATGAATGTGTGGGTGTGGAGGACATGTTTGGTAGGGCCAGGTATCAAAACACTTTCTCTACTTAATTGTTCGATGTTAAAAAAAGGTTATCAAACATTCGTTGTTTATTTGGACTTTTATTGAGGATAATCGAGCATTTGGTTCTGTTTACAAAAAGCTGCAAGTATTATAGAACGTGCTCTCATTGAACAAAACTTATCAAAAGCACTTATGAGCCAGTATTGTTTGTGAAAGATTGTGAGATACCCAGCCCTCATTAGGAACCATTAGGAACCGCATTCAGATTTCCCGTACCGTAGGTCTGCGGTCATCTGCTAAAATGTTTTGATATATTTTAGAGGAAAGGCTTGAAAGGCTGAATTTAGAAAAGCAATCTAGATTTCATAGGCACACAATTTCAAACCACCTTGCTTTCAAGACAATGGTTACATCTCTTTACATAAGACACATTAAAATTTGAGAGTGACATTAGGACAGTGTCTTGCACTTAACTGAAATGTGAAAGCAAAAGAAATTAGTAAGGTGCCCATTCTACGACCAAACAGCCTTGTAGCTAAACTGTAAATGAACACATACCTGAACAGACCACACACACTTGGCATTTCTGGCTCTTTTTCTTTTCTTAATGCCAAACCATTCACAGTTGCTTGGTATTAAAGATTAAAAATAGAAATGTGACAGGGAATCACACCGTGTCTGTATTATACAGTCAATTTCTTCCATTGTAGGGTCCCTGTTCTCCCGAAGAAGCTACAGAAGGCTCTTTGTCTCGGAGCAATAACCATTAGGGCCGTCCTTCGTCTTTAAGACGGACGGGACCGGGTGTGGGTGAGCGGACGACCTCAGAAGTGCTCAGTACTTTTTTACGTTGATGAAAACCTTGATGGCTCCAGTGAAGTCGGCGGAGAGTAGAACCTCCGTGTGATCCGTCTTTAGGGCTCCTGCGAACGACAATATTTTATAGCGCTGAAACGACAGCCTTGATGTCATGAAAACTGTGCGTGTGTTACTTGAAACGTACCTGAGGGTATCGTTTCAGAGTCTGTGGAGTCCAGGCTCTTGCACTCCGCTTCTGGTTTGTCTGCTCCAGCTTCTGGTGGAACAATAAGGCCTGGGTGCGGTGCAAAAATTGCTGAGGTGACTACTGCGTTGTGTGCTGAAAGATAAGTCCCGTTTTAGTATCCGTTCAATCAACGGGAACAAATCAATTAAGACAAGTGGTTACCATTACAATAATGATTTGTCATTCACCACACAGAGCACAGTTACCTTTAATTCCTTCCCAGAAGTCATTGCGGTCCCGTCGTACGGAAGTGAATTTGCTCAGGTCGTGGTAAGTGCTCCAGATGTACACGTACTTATCCTCTGAGCCACTGACTATGAAGGAGTAGTCGTGACTGGAGGAAGAGAATCCCCGGGTAAGTCACGGTGCAGAGCAACATAAAAACAAGACTCAACTGTTACCGCTGCTAGTCAAAGACGGGCCCTCCTCACCTGAAGCTCGCCTTGATCTGGCTGCTGCTGTTGACGTAACCTTTGTATTTCATGGATAAAGACAAGTCCCTCAGGTCATAAAGGCGAATGCGGGAATCATTTGAGGTCACCAAAATCTATCACGGTGATGGGGAAGGAAATGTGTCATTTAGAAGTCTGACAGATGTGCCTCATTATGGTGACATCAGACACACCGCACATGTATTTGTAGCGGAGATCAGATGTTACCTTATTCTCTCCAGGTAGAGGTTCAATGCCAGTGATTTTTCGCCCAACTTTGTTCCGGCCTCTGGTGGACCTCACGTGAATTTGAGTGTGGTATTTCAGACGCTACGGGATGAGCAAGCAGAAGAACACATTTAACCTGGAACAAATGCTGTCATGACAAAAACAATAATAACATTGAAAACCATGTCTTAGCAGCTGGGCACCTCTGTGTCATAGAAGATGCATCGGCCATCGTAGGTGCCGATGACGGCGTACTTCCCATTTTGGCAGAAGTTAGCTGCCGTGATGAGGCGTGTCTGGCCGTCCACCTCATTCCACAACGCCACCTTTTTGTCCGGAATGTTCCAGAGCCGGAGCTTTCCATCCAGAGAGCCACTTAAAAAGTATCTGTCATCCTGGGAAACAAGAAGCACGCGTTAATATAAATACAATCTGGGGGGGGGGGGGGGATTTGTGATGAAAATAAACTTACTCTGGGATGGAAAGCAATGGCTGTAACAAAATCAATGTGCTGAAAGCAGCAGAGACACTCTCTCCTGGATATGTGCCACAATCTGACCGTTTTATCCATGGAAGAGGAGAGGAGGAAGAAGTTCTGGATTGACACACAAATAAAGAGTAAGAGGAGAGTATAAACCAGTACTGTCTAAAGTGTGCGGAGAGGAGAGATTAAAGGATAGATGAGTTGGCAGTAAGACATCACCTTTGACCAGGACAAGTCCAATAGATCCGCCGTATGACCTTTATACTTGCAGAAGGGGACTTGACGGAAAGGGGCGTTCCTATTATCTTCTGTGTCTGGGTCCTCTGGAGCACAACTTGCCTATGGCGAGAGAACAATCTGTTAAAGAGTCTCAACACTGTACAATATACAGCATTGCAATATTTATACTATTACTAAATAATAATAATATTTTCTGGAAACGGTTAATGTCACTCACCCCGTGATCGTCAGATTTAGAGGAGCATAAACTTTCCTGAGAAGGAGACGGTGAAACCCGACCTGGACGAACAAAATCAGAATCTGAGCATCTAAATTGAAATAATCGATCATCATTCAACAGCAACAAAAAGAATCGGAGATGCCGATGAGGTTACCTTCGGTGTTGTACTTTAACCTCATGTTATTGAAGTAGTCAAAGGCGATCTTTAAGACCCAGATGCGAACCACGTTGTCTTGGCCCGCGGTCGCCAGCAGCCTCCCGCAGTGAGAGAACTTCATCGTCCAAACGGCCCCCTGAGATAGAGACAACGGACGCTGTGAAAGCAAGCATCCACTGGTGCACGTCTTCTCTTAAAACAGCTCGGATGCTCTTACCATGTGCTCTCCACTCAGGTCCTGCACCACTTTAATCTGATCAAAGTCAAAGGGCCCCTTGAAGCTGTGCGCTGCCTTGAACTTGGCAGACCTGGTGTAAGGCATGCCCTCATCGTCACTTGATGACGGATCGTCTTGGTCTGTATGGAACACTGAGCGCACCCGAAACAAAAGAAATCACAGCTCAGGTTATCAACATCCTTTGCAGCAGCTGGAGCATAAATATTTCACAAGCGGAAATCTAACCGACTGTAGAAATACTTAAAATGCTTCTTTTACCTTCATCGCGCACACTTTTCACTTTGTTAACCGCCTTCTCTCCATATTCCTCAGCGAAATGCTTGGCCTTCTTAACCGACTTGCCCAGAAACTTTTTAAACTGTGTTCTGGTTGTATGAAATAAGGGACAAAGCAAAAATATTAGATTATACATTTGGTCATGTGGTGAGAAGGGGACGAAGATAAATTCCAGCAAGCAGGAACTTCCTCACGTTTTCTGTTTTAGTTTTCCTCCATCTGTGTCTGCCAGCGGAGCCTGAGCCTTGTCATCGTCATCCGACTGTGCTGCATCATTCCTGAGAGGAAACAATATAACAGATCTACTTCCTCTGGAAAATGTACCGTTTGTTTTACCGTGATTAGCGCCAAATGTAACAATACTGCAGCTAATACAGACAAACTTACGTAATGTACTCCTTGGTCCTCCTCATGATGTGCAGCGTGAGCGGGTTGATCGCCGCAGGAAGTTTCTCTTCTGCCTGGATTAAAGGGATCTCTTCCCCAGTGTCCAAATTCTTGATCATCACACTGGCCAGAATTTCCTGTTTTAAGATAACGCACAAGGTTGGTGGAAGGAATGTGCTAGAGGTTAGGGTGTCAAACTCATTTTCACTCCGGGCCACATCAGCATCATGGTTTCCCTCAAAGGGCCGGTTGTAACTGTAAGACTGTATAACTGTAACTACTCCCTAACATATTGTTAAATAACTCTCTCTGCATTTGATTGTTGTTTATTCAAGTGTAAAAATATTGTACATGCAGTTATATAAATGTAAAATGATATTTAAGCACATTTCTGTTATTATAACATAAATCATTTTAATTTAGGGTTAGGAAACCCACATTACTCTATCAAAGATCAAACTTTTAAAGAACATAACAGACAAATATCATCAAACACAAGTTATTACATTAACTTTGTTCAAAGCTATTTTTGTCACCTCTCTGCATCACTAATGTCCCCGTTGTCATCCCGCGCATGGCAGCTACATCCAAGAGCTCCTCACTGAGAATCAGGTCTTATAAACATGGATAGATGCTCTGTGTCCGTGTTGTCTGTGCTTTCATCAACAGCTAATGAAGAAGACGAGTACCTGCTCGTCTCTTCGGCTAGCTGTGTTGTTAGATTGCTGCTAGTTCCTGAACTCGGTCTGCGATGGTGTTTCTTCACAAACTGACATTTGTAAAAGTCTGTATCTGGTCGGAGCTCACCTGCTCACATACCTTTAGCATGCACTGGGCTGTAGCTTGTGTAAATATATTCTGCTGTGATTGCACTCTGCCTTTTAATTCTTGGACAATTTTATGTTTTTCATGGAGGCTAAATTTAGCTCCGTCTTTGGTGTCAAAATGCCGACGTGAATTGTATCCTTCACCGACACGCGTCATAACACAGAAGACAGACACATTTTTCTCCTTGAAGCACAAACATGTATTCGCTTTCCCATCTTAAACTACATCTTCTTCCCTCTGCATCAATTTCTCTTCGTGGACATTTTGGGATTATTTGTCGATCTTTTTCAACTCAATCACTTGTTGGAAAACCGCTTTACGGGCTGTTCCCTCTCCTGTCCACCTGTTGTGATAGTTTTAATGTCGGTACACAGACAACATGCTATCTCAGAATTTCAACTTTCTATCTCATAATTTCGACCATGGGGATATTTTTATTTTCAAGTCTAACTTTAAATTTCTTTTCCAAAATTAAAAAAAAATAAATAATTTTTTTTTTTTTGTAACTTTTTTTTTTTGCTGGCAGATTCGCGGGCCACATAAAATGACGTGGCGGGCCGGATTCGGCCCGCAGGCCTTGAGTTTGACACCTGTGTGCTAGAGGTTAGGGTCGTGGCTTGGATTCGAGCTGAATAAAAATGCAATAAAAACAAACAGAGAGGAGCTCTTACTTCATCTGTCAGTTCTCTACCAGAGTTGGAACGTGGACGATGAGGGCCTGGAGTTTGTCCTCCACTCTGACATGACGCCTGTTCATCCTCATTTTCCTACAAAAAGCAAAAGCAAGCATCGGTGCAATAGATAAGCAAACTCCTACACCATATACTTTTTCATTTTTGAGCATCTCCGGTCCACAGCCTCACTGACCTTTGCCGTCACTACTTTGTCCCCGCTGGTAGCACTGGCCAGATCCAAGGAATGCTGCAGCTCTTTGGTTAGACTCCTCACTGTGCTGCTGGGAGACACCAGGCCTGAGGGCTCCAGAACATCATCGCTGACTGCAGACACTGGACAATCGTACAACACAAAACACTTCATCTGAAAAACCTTCTACTACTCTGTTTGCTCTGCATGGGAATGCAGCGGTTTGACACTAGTTTTGCTAGAATGGCTATATAAGAGAGATGCCTAAAATACTCGACTCTAGTATGAGATCAGTGTTGTTTTTTCAACCTTCTCCACACGCTATTGCTCTAAAGGCTGTACTTTACAGCAATGTCACTTCTAAGAAAGTAACTAACCAAGTGATGTCCAACAGGTTGAATTCAACGTTTACACAACATTTTGAATCAATGTCATCAACTTGAGCTGTTCTCTCTACCTTCCAGTCCACTTGGCCTCAGACACTCCTGGGACTTCTTGGAAGGTAGACTCTGCCAAGCAGGTGGAGGCGGTCTCGGTGGAGGACCTCCGCCGGGAGGGGGTGGGCGCGAGGGAGGAGGCTTCTTGGTGCTTGCTACAATGTCTGGTTCCGCTGTTATGTGCCGCGGGGGTTTCGTCGGCCCAGAGGAGTCCGAGTCGGCCGGCCTGTCCGCGAACGGGACCTGGTCTAAGATGTCTGCAGGTCTCTGCTCCTGCTCCCCAGCCAGCTGAATGAGTCCTACGGTGCTGGTGATGTCCGGGGGCTGAACAACCGATGGCCCTGGGACATCCGTGGGTTCAGAGGCAGGTGAAGAGCACGCTCCGTTCGTCGCTGCGCTTTCCTGTTCTTCCTCTGGCCTCTCGACAAGATGGGGTTCGACAGCTGGCGCTGCGACCTCCACGGGAACTTCCTGAGCATTATTCTCTTCCGTTGGCTCCGGTTCTGCTCTCGCATCGACTTGTAGCTGATCTAACAGTTGAGCCACCTCACCAACGTCACCTACACTTCCCTTTTGACTCTCCTCAATGATGCTGTCAATGATCTATAAAGGAACAGAACAGTTAACTTAACAACACAGCAATTATAATGCAAGTTCCCATGTCCAGCTCAACTACAACTATGTTATTGGCTGTACGTGTACCTTTTCTTTATTTCTTTAGTTAGCAGTTAACACAAAACAAAAACAGCAAATAACAGCAAAGCACACACTGCAGGAAATGCCATTTATAAAGCATACCATCAAAGATATCACTTTTTTTTTAACACTTTTAAAAATATGAGAATGTGCTGAAACTCCATTATCTTTGATCTTTCCATTTTAGGAAATCGTGCGGGAAACTGTGCAACCAGGAGAAACACTCACCAGTAGGGAATCGTCTTGCTGAGTCTCAGATGCAGCCACTCCGCAGCTCACATCTTGTGCTGCGTTCACTGATCTCTGTACAAACTGTCCAGAAAGCAGAAAAACGACCATCAACAGACACACTTTGGAAATAACAAAAGCCGCACGCCAGCTTTGATCACGCATTTCTATAAAATTACTAAAACTCTCATAACCAGCTGAGTGTTAATTGGACTTTTATTCTTTTGATGCAACTGCTTGCTATGAGGATGAACTCTGTGACTGAAAGTAAATTCAGGGATCCGCACACAGATTCCATCTGTGCATGAGACACTGCTCTGTGGTGCCATTTCCTTTTGCTGCAAAAATCAATGTTTTCAGTCGGATTTGCTGATTTAAGGCACAGGGCTGTGAGCAAGGTTCACTCCAGGGTCCAATCCAACACCAGCTCAGTACTGTGATGCAGATAAAGTAGTTATAAAGTAGAGAAATTTTAAATTCAGTTGTGACTGTCTGGGGAAGGCAGGCAGAGCATCAAGGCCAGATGATACCTTTACATTCTCCTAGCTGTCAATAGGGAGACGCCAGCTCACCAATGCAAGTGGCAGATGTCACGGCTGAGGGTTGAGTATTAGCAGTCAATGACTCATCGCTAAACAGCCTGTGTTAATGTTTTCACGAAAGGGTCCCAATACCTTTCTCTGAAGTCACTTAAGACGGGCGTCATTTCAAGGACAACTACTATAAACACTGCAGTCACCTCTAGATAGTTAACCACAGTGTACTGCTTTAGTAGGTTTTAGGTCCAATAGCCATTGTTAAAATACCCAGATTCACTAAAGTCCAATTCTAGTTAACTCTCTATTTTAACCAGCAAGGTAAGCAAACAGGTGGTCATCTTGCTGAGGTACAACTGCTATCAAACTGAAGTAAAAAAACAACTCGTAACAAAACTACCTCAACAGATTCAATAGGAATATAATACAAGTTAATTGAACTCGAACACTATGTATTCACTACCCTTTCAAGCCTTGGTGACATTCAAACTAAGCGACTCAGCAGATACTGCCTTGATTTAACAGTGGCCGGGCTTTAGATAAACATACCTGAGGTGAAGGAATGGCGAACTTTGTAGGTGACCTAAAAACCACAAAAAGGTAATGAGGGTCAATGTCTAAAACACAACGTGCTAAATCAAATCTAATCTGAAACCAAACGTGTTGTTATTGTATCTTTCCCACTTGAGCAGTTCGATTTATGCGTGTGTGAATTATAATTCTTGTATCCCCCAAAAAAGAAATACAGATGTTCAGACCTCTTCAATCATTAAACAAAAAAAAAGCCTAAACATGATGCATAACATGCACGTGCTGTTAAGTGAATAATGCACAGGATGGATATTCACATGGTGGCCTCAACTATTGATTTTTACTCTGAACAAACAAAAATGGAGATAAAGTCCAAGAGGCAAAGTAACAGTTAAATCTTGGGAGCATTTCCTAACAATATTATGAAAACATGGCGATGTTTTAAAAAGCTAAAGCTGAAACCACAAGTTCCCAAAAATGTCAACCTGGTGCATCTTTCTGATGTTACAATAAACAATGTTTATAAATGGAAACGGTCGATTTGATCTCAGGAATAACACCATGTGACTTGAGTATTGCGGTTGACTCTGCACTGACACCACACAAGTATATTTTAACACAATACTGACTGGATATAGCTCATCTCTGCCTATAGAGATGAGCATTTAGCCATTTTAACGTTAGGTTTGTTAGCTGTCATTGCTAAGTTGGATAGGTGCTGATGCCACTAGATGAAACAATCAGAAACAAGTGTGCATTGGTCACTCTTATGCGAAGTAATAGTATAAAAAAAAAATGTGTTTCCTTACACTTTGGGAGATGGAGTCAAATGAATGTCCTCGGGAGCATCATAGAATTCGTCGGTGTCACTTGTATCTGACGCCATGCTAACATGAATGTAGCTCACAAGCTAAGTCAACTTCAGTCGCCAGGCAGCTGTCTAGAAGCCTAACCTGCGAGTGTTAAGCGTTACACACACATGCACTTGTTCCTCTATACACTGCCTTCTCTATATATCTATGTTATAGTATAAATGGCTTGGCCCAGCCTTCCTGTCCAACGTCACTCCATGACTGTTACAGATGAGCCAAAATGCTAGGCTAACAACTCTAATCTGTTCGTTCGACTCACCAACGCCTACTGCTAAACTAGCTCTCTACCCTCCTATACATCTGTCGTTCACGGCACAGTAGCTTCCATGAAATGGGACTTCGACGAGTGCGTTTTTTTACAACCGCATACTCTCTCGGTCAGCTGTCAAGCTAACGGGGCCAATGAGCCGCGTCATAAACAAACCAGAAACATACAAAAAAAATACATCTAACGAACGAGGTGAGTCAAAGGGCGGGGCCCAGCCGCTCTTCTTCTTCTACGCTACTATTATGGCAGTTGGAGGATGATGTTGACACACTACTGCCCCCTACTGGACCTGTTGAAGAACAGCACGTAACAGAAAAGGGGAAAAACCAGGGAGGGGTTGTCGTTTGTATTTTGCGAAAGGCTGGCAAAACGTCCTAGGATGAGAAGCTAATCTTGGTTGTTTGTTGTTTGGTTAAATCTTTGCACTACTGTTTAGTTAGTTCATTTAATATTATTCTATTTCACTGTATATGTTGTGCATTTTTATACTCGATATTTTTTATTTTTTTACTTTGAATGCTTACCTGTATCATAATGCTGCTGTAGCGAACAAATTTCCTCTTGCGAGATTAATAAAGTATCTATCTATCTGTCTATCTATCTATCTATCTATCTATCTATCTATCTAATCACCGAAATCAGTGCAGCCTAGAGCATCGCTGATCCTGGATTTTGAGACAAATACCAATATAGATATTTGACAATATAAGAAATACAGAACAAAGACATTTTTTTTTACAAAATTGTATTACATTTGGTTATTAAAGAAATGTGGCCAATATATGCTGGCTGCTGACCAGAACATTTTACAGTGGAAAAACTGGAGAATTTCTGCAGTGCAATTTCTTGTTTATTGGCTGCCATGTACAGAGATATGTCTGTGATGTGCTAAAACTGTGAAAAACTGTGTTCCCGGTACACTTGTAACCTGAGGTCACACAATGATAATCAAAACTTTTTTTTAAATTGAAAAATCATGCACAAATAACAGATTCTGGAATGTGTGCGCATCTTTAATTATAAACTTAAATTATCCAAGAACATTTAATGACATGGTACTGTATACCAGTTGGATGGTTCATTAATAACAGCCAGTGCAACTTATGAGGTGAGAATTGGTTGGTAAAATATGCGCATAAATTAGCAGCTGCAGGTCCCATTCATTCACACATAACATAGGCAGACACTTATGTACACTGTAGAGCCGTCAACAGTTAATCAAAATTAGCATTGAATTTTAAGTCTGTTCCAAAGTGCTCTTTGTTCCAGATCAATGCATCAGTTGATAAATAAGCTTGCAATTTTATTGATGATTGGAGAGGACAAAAAGGTGGCAGTGGTAGATGAGTGATTATTCAAATAGCCTCAGTGCATTTTAATGAATGCATTTGGTAATTTTTTTTTGGCCATATTGAAGACTTGCATTCATATTATCAAGCATGCATAGAATATGAATTGCAAAAAATAATTACTGTTGTGTTTTAAGCTTTTTAATTTTCCTCAAACATGTTTAAATGTCCACAACTAAACCCCAAAGTCAGTGTGTTTTGCATCATACTGTTGATTTTTGATTGTTTTGGTAAATGAACATTTAACAATTCACCTTATAGGAGTATTTCAAAAGTATAGTGTTGACTCTCGATAAATTGTTTCTTCAACTTTTGATTATTAATCAATTAATAATAATAAAAGAATAATTAAAAAAACAGTCTAAGATCTTGAAACTTCAGTAGCATTAAACAGCATTCAAAGGAAAACATATTAAATAAATAAATGTGGTATGTTTGTCTGTCTCCTTTGTTGAGGAAGCTTCTGAGTGTGGAGATAAGGATGTGTGTGTGAGTGTGTATTTGTGTACAAATCAAATTCAAGTAGGGACTTTGTCAATACTTGAATGTGAGAGCAAGAGATAAAGACCTAAGCATCAGCACTTGTGATAATAGAAAAAGTAGAGTAAAGGGAGTTAGCAATGTATGTTGACTGTAATAAAGCCTAACATCCACATCCACTGCATCTGTGCAGTTAATGTAGAATTGTCTTACCTAAATCACTCTAATATTAAACCAAAGTCATTCTTCTGCTTTATTTTCAGATATTTTTTAATTACCACATGCACAGCACTAGAGGCTCTTCATTAAGACCTGCTTTGCTTCAAAGACACTGTGAGTCCTTGTTACTTTTCTTAAGATGATATTTCCTGTGTTTTCATACAGAGAGCCTATTGTTTTCCTTGTAACTAATCCCGGGCGTTTTAAGGTCACATCATACCTCCATAATCAACTTAACCTTCTTTTTTCCAAGTAAAGCAAGCACAGACATTTGTTTCAGGGCATGAACGCTTCACAGAAAGACGACTCCTCTCTGGAAAAGACTTTATTTAGTAACGGAAGTTTTGAGCCAATGAGAAAAGATTGCCATACTCTTCCACCAATGGGAAGTGTGGATACTCCAGCTCTGCTAGTAAGCGACGATTTCATTGGCTAAAAATAGGAAGGAGGCTCCAAGTGGTATAAGTGGATTTGAGGGGCTTGGGAAGGAAAACAAGGACGCCAGTCAACGATATCGCGTTGTTGAAGGTATGGAATCTGCTATTTAAAAGTTTACAGAGTGTATTTGAGATACATATGTTCATTGAAATATCATATATATAGCAAGGTTGTATTAAACTCAACAAATACCAGGTTGACAGGTAGTCACAGTCATTTGTTGGTGGTAAACCAACCAGCCTGACTAACTAATAACTAACCCAACTAACTCGTGTTAAGACCCCGGTCTTTTAGTCGTTAGTTAAGCTAACCTAGCTAGCGAACGATGTATACCAGCAACTAACTTAACAGTCATATAGCCGGTTGTCCTGCTTCTAATGTTATCTCAAGCTAGCCAATGTTAAAGGGTTAGCTTGGCTAGTTAGCCACATAGCCTGTTCCCACTGGAGATGTAACGACTGTGTTGCGGCAACATGGCTAGAAAACTAGCAAAAGCTCCGATCTGTCAGCGTGTCTTCACGTGACAATATAACTGTTGAAGTCTGGACTAAATAAAGACACTTTTAACGCCAGATCCTGGTAGGCTGAAAGCTTCTGCTAGCAAGCAAGTGGGCTACCTCGCCGTAGACTTAGTTACATGTATCTCACTTTAGCTTTTAAACCTCGTGCCTGTCTGAGAGCTTTTTCAGAGGTAAACTGTCAACTCCTGTCAGTTCTGTGTCACTAAAATCATGTCATTTTTAACATGTTTATAACAACATGAACCAGACTAGTGAGGAAACTTTACCGTGGGCCAGTTGTCATTCTTCTAAGACATTGATGTACGCCTTTCATTTTGTACAGCATATCGGCTGAATTTCAAAATAAAAGGTGGTTCTGTCAAAAAAAAAACCCAAAAAAAAACACACTGCAGATATTTTTAGCTTCAATTAGCCTAGTTCTGTGTAAAGCAACAAGTTAGAAATATGATGCCACTGTCACATTTCAGAAGGGGATGGGGCTCAAGGAAAGGCCATCAACTTCTGTGGGACATGAATGCAAATATATTCACATTATTTTGAGTTAATCACCAAACTTCAAGAGGTAATGAGGCCACAGGTGTGTGTGAAGCTAAAGTCTGTCACACAGACACACACGTTTGCTTTCAGGATAAAGTTGAAAGTCAACTTTTTGACATTTACTGAGTCTGATGCCATTATTAGTCTTATTTAGAAAAATGTGAAACTTTTAAAGTTTAAATTATGCTAGGCGTTGCTATTTATTTTTCCTTCTCAGTTGTAGAAAATATACATTTTGATGCTTTCTTTTTACCTTTTTAATACTGTAAGGTAGTTTTACTTGTGATCTGTAGTAAAATAATACTCTTGTTTACTCTGTATCTTTTGGAAATAAGAGTGCCAGATTCTGAAACCAGAGTTTCTCTGTTACAACAATGGGATACTGTCCAAATTAGACAATACATTGTATGTAAAATAGTGTGCAGACTGTAACATTTAAATAAAAAAGGAAATTCGGTTAAACGCGCAGATACGAAACTGACTTGCTGAATCAAAACGCGTCTTCATGTAACAGCTTTATCTTGCTTTTCTTGGGTGAAATTGAATGTTTGTTTCGACAAAAGACTTAATTCAAATGTTAAAGTACCATTTCTTTATGTTTTTGAGGTGTGGTTTTGGCGAGGGTATGGAGCACCCTGTACACAGAGGGGAGACGATGCCCATTGGACTACATGACAGGTAATGTGCAATGTCTCATATTTCATTATTCCGCTGGCAACTGTACAAATGTTTATTAGTGGACTTTAACTGTACACATTCTACTGCCCAAAAGTTGTTAACAGTAGCTGTTTTGCAACCCCGTAAAATTACCTATTAAAATAAATCTACTTTTGACTCAGGATTGATGGTTCATCATCATAATAATTCTTGACTCGTATACAGTACAGCAGGTATCTTTAGTCCTGTCTGTCGGGGCTAGGTAATGGCTTCTCCCTGGAATTGGATTTGTTAATCAGGTAATCCCTGATTAGATTGTAAGGGAGAAAAGCACGGTGGCGCTCATTAACAGGGTGAAGAGCCACCGCTAAGCATCTTACCAGAGTGTCACCCAAGGTGTTTCTGTGACATTAGTTCACCTGTGGCAGTTCTTCCATGCCTAAATGGCCTTTGCATAATGATGGCAAAATGTGTCACTATTTGCCAGCAATCATTCTGTCACTCAAACATTATTGTCACAGCCCACTTTGCTTACTTTTTTGGTCTACATACACTGAAGTAGGGGTTTTCAACTGAGCACAGTGTTGGTGCTGGCAACATACAAATGTTTTTACGAGCTGACAACATGTGGGAGTTTAATTTGCTTAAGATAAACTGGTACATCGTGCACTTTGTTTCTCAACTTCCAACAGAATATCAGCAAATAATGCAAAGTTATGGAATAGCATATACGTATCGAGATCAAGCCTGTGACTGATGACCGATGGGGTGACACATTTGGGCAAGTTTTTCTTTCAGTTGGCTTCTGAGGAATGTTTAGTTTCACCGCGAGGAAGCTCCCGAAGAGCGGTGTGTGTTTTTATTTGTTGCATACCTTTTTTATAGGTAGCACCAAATGGTTGCATACGGATGCGTTTTTAAAATTAGACATGAAAACACTCGAGGAAGGCGCTTGCCTGATAGTTTTATGTGCGTTTGATCCAATCTGTCTCCTTTGCTCATCGACAGGATTGTGA